TTATTTTTGTCCGATATCACTGCTTTAGGCGGTATTTTTTTCTTAAATGTACCAGATATGTAGCCTGTACGATAGGTTACACACTCGCTGCCCTGAGATTTTGAAGCCCCTTGACTTGATGCCATTTTTATGTAGAAATACAAATGTTGTCAAATTTTCTCTTACAATGCCTTTATATATAGCGGTGGCGGGGCTGCTCTAGAGATTTTCCTAGTATTGAAATTCGTAGGGGTGTGGCTATAATGACCTATAAGAAAGAGGTTACAGTTTTCTTTACCCTGTTATCCTGGTTTGCATTGGTACACTGCTACTAAGAGAGATCTGGGATTGGCTGATTATGCTTATAGATCAGTGATTCTTCCCCCGCAGGAAAATAATATTCTTCACTACACTCCTTACAAAGTTGAAAGTGTTGAAATTTTTCACCCACATTTGCCTTATACAATTTTGTCAATTCTAATCCATCGAAAACATGTGAACCGAACTTCCTCATTTTATATAATAATACATCGCTATTCCACAGCATTGCTTTTTTCACAAAATATAAAGTCTTGTCGTTTTTGGCGTATTTTCGTTCATTTAATAAACTAGCAATGGCTATGCTTTTCAATGAAAGAACGTTACGAACAATTTGAAAACTTTCTGCTATTGCTTCCGAATGGAAGCTTTGTAATCGACCAAATTCAAGATTTCGATTTTTTTGTCATATGTCAACTTAATATGACCCAAGAAGTTCGAAAACGCAGTTTTTAGACCGTGTCCGAATGTATGTATGTATGTGTGTGTGTATGTGCTGTTTTTATTTCCTTGATTTTCTTTGATTGCTCACCTGCATCTCTAGTCAATTGCATCTTTTTTCATTCAAATGTAGGTCTTATTGGGCCCTATCTATCGCCGTCAATAGAAGTTGATTTCATCCATTCGTTTTTATAATTTTTAATTTTTTCGAAAATTCGGTTTTTTCACGATAGCTCAAAAAAAAATCATCTGAATTAATTAAATTACGGCTTAAAAAATGTGTCCTGATGTGCTCTTAACCGAGTTCGAAGATGAAGGTGACAGCAATAATCATTTCTTTAATCTCTGTGAAATTGCTTAAAAAAAAAAATATTAAAAAAGAAATATTTCGATGATTTTCGGGCATAACAGTCAGGAGATACATACAATAGTGGTGGAAAAAGTTAATTTAAGTTTATTATTTCAAAGCGATAAAAAATTCAACACTTTTATCGATGACGGGTTGAGGTAAAAAATACAAAGGCAAGTGAACATTCAAAATGAGAGGTTGAAAAGAATAGGTCTAACTTAGTCAGCCTTATATATTGGAATAGATTCCAGAGACATGAATTCGCTGCTCTAAGTTCGTCATTTTGGTTTTGGATTAATTCTAAATTTATTATAGCCGAGTATATCGGTAAGAAATTCATTTCGTGTATTGAAGAACACATGGATTTAAAAATCAGTCGGTTTA